AGTTTGAGCAGGGGCTTCAGATCAGTGAGGATAAATTTGCCACATCTCTGGTAAGCAACAAATTCCGTTGCATTTGCAAATCTTGTCTGCACAGATTCATAGAAACTGGCAGTATATATGCTTGAAAATCGGCTACAGCACCATCCGTTGTAATAGCTTTGAGGACTCCACTACTTTTAAAAGGAGATTGCATACCTCCTATTCTGGCTACTGTTGCTAAAGTCAGCCTTTGAGATTGTGAAATAATCGAAACATCTGCCCCATCATCTAGTAATCCACTGAAGACTATTCTCTATTTGCAAATTCAATAAAGGTTGTTTCTGAGTAATCTCCTGGGTCTGACAAACCTCAGCTTTTCCAGAGCTTCCAAATCCAGAGGTATTCCTTGTGTTAATTTCTACTTTTGGCACCCAATATGTAATCAAAACAAGTTTTGCTAGTTTTTGACCTTTTGGAATTTTACAACTGCCATTTAAGGAAGATACTAAAATTTCATTTTGCCAGTATAATCTGAATCTATTACTCCTGGATGAATGTTTATTCCTTGGAGAGTTGTGCTTGAGTGTCATGACAAAAGATCCATAAATCCCTTTGGTAAAGGTCCCCAAACATTGGTAGCTATAGCTTTAACAGTGGCACAATCTAACTTGGTGTTGGTGCTTGTTGCCAAATCCAAGCAGGTGCTGCCTGTTGTGGTAGCTGCAAGATAGGAGATGGAGAGTTTGCTGGAAAACCCCTGTTGTTTTGAGGGGCATTGGGTTATGCTGCACCCCTCTTGGAGTTTCCCAACAAAGGATTTCCATCCTTATCAAATTTAGATTTACACTGATTGCTCCAGTGATATCCTTTTTTGCATCTGGGACAGAGTTGAAATCGTGTTTTTTCTTTCTGCTTTTGTTTCTCCTGGGGATACATTTTACTAACATGTCCTTCCTGTCCGCAGTTAAAACATTTTTGCTGACACATGATGAGTTTTGATAATGCAGCAGTCAATGCAGAAGCCTTATGAACCTCCATACCTATATCCTGACATGTTTTAATAAACTCAGCAATGTCTGTAAATTTTTCCCTGACTGGGGCTAAAGCAGCTTTGCAATCTCCATTTGCATTTCCGTATGCTAACTGAAATAAAAGTACAATGGCAGCCTCAGGATTATCAATCTGCCTTTGTATAGCATTGTTTAATCAGTCTATAAAAGATAAATAGGGTTCCTGAGACCCTTGGTGAACAGTTCTGAAAGAAGTAGTTTTCTTTCCTGATTCAGGTACTCACCTCCAGGCTTGTACAGCCATACAAGCGGCTTGCTGGATTTGATCATGAGGGTGCAAGCATTGCCTGTTAATATGTCAGCATCTATTGGTGTTCCTCTTTGAGCATTATCTAATACCTGTAAAGCCACTAAGCCACTATATTCCGTTCTCCAGACCAAGTATTGATCAGGTGTCAAAATCGTTTGCATTAAAGTGCCAATCCCATGGTACCATAGATCCTGAACTAGCCGTCATTTCCAGCAGACCTAATGTATAAGGACTTTGAATTCCATTTTCCATCACTGATTTTTTCAGTTCCTTAAATACTGTGTATGGAATACTTTCATGTACAGGTTGTTGTTGTCCTTGCCCATCTGTTCCATAAAATACAGGTAAAGTGAAAGCAATGTCTCCAGTAAAATCACCATTCTCTATCCCTTTCCCCATACATTCTTGTATAAATGTTTTGGTAGCTTTCTGGTTAACTAACAGCTGGCCAAATGATTCGTTATCGAGGTCAGTCAAGGGAGGTGCAGTAGGTTGAGGAACATGAGGAATATTCGATGTGAATGCCTTTAATGGCATCAGAGGCGGGTATAAATTTGAATCCTTTTCTGAATCTACAGGGCCAGGAGCAAAAGGATTATCAGGCTTCTCAGAAAAGGTGTTTTCATCCTTCTGTCCTTGCTCTTTCAAATTGTCAGTATTTTGATCATTTGTTTTATCATGTGTCTGAATTATATCCTCAGCAGGTTGCAAATTAGATAATGCAGAATAGACAAAACACCATGTCACTATTAAATCAACAGGAAGCTCCATACCAAGGTGATTTCGAGTTTGTAAATGTTCTCCCACTCTCTTCCATATCAGAGTATGAAATGACCCTGTTGCTGGAAACTAGTTGCAATTTGTTTTGACCCATAACAAAAGGTTCATTGCTTCTCTCTCAGACAAACAATATCCAGAGAATTTTAAAATTTGCTGTAAAACTTTCAAATACAATTTCTGTTTGGCTGATTCTACTTGTCCCATTTTTCTAATGCAATCCCATAATTCCCTGTACAACAGGTGTTACTGACCTGTAACAGGTGAACGGTAGTACCAGAAATTCCCTGTCAAATTGCACGGACATCGCAATGTTGAGCAGTTTAGTGTCGCACACGGGGCACCATTTGCGGTGTTTGTAAAGAAAGAGGCTAAACACGTACACACACACACCCCCCCCCCCCATGCTTCCACAACTAGTTCTACTTTATTCACTCCAGCATATAGATATGGGCCTGAGCTATGAAGCCAAACAGAAACCACATCAATCACAGTGACTGTCTTCAGCCACTATAAATTCCATTCCACAGTCACTCCCCAGGCTGTTTCCCAGCCCGGCCTTGCACCCATGCACACAAATACTCCCTGGCTTGCTCAAGACCCAGGTGCACTATCAGCAATTCTTTTCATCTTTCACTACCCACATAGGGGGAACAGGACAGCTTGCAGTTCCTGCATTCATAGCCAGAGTCTCATGTGGATGACAGTGAAGGGTTTTCTGGGGACAGAAACATTAACATACTGTTAAGACATACTTTTCCACGAGAAACATTTATATTTTTGTCTGCTTTTGTGTTCTTCATTGTGAAAAGTAGACTGATGATATAATGGTGGTAATAGCTCGTTTCAGTGCTTTACAGAGCAGAGAGACAATGGAAGTATTTGGAGTTATCAGTGGCATGTCAAATACTTGGAAACTAGAGAATTACACATCTTTCTCTAAGTCATGAAGTTATAAAGATGGGCACTGAATGCTGGTGAATTTATTTAGACATTAAGATAGCTTCACCGTAACCCAGAACACTAACTGGAAGTGTAATGCACATTGTAAACTTCCGAAACTAAAATTGTAGAAAGATATCTGGATTTTTCTAGAATCACTTGAGAAAGGGTATAAAACCATGAATGCTTGCTAGAAGGGTTTCCTTGGGATTTCATTATCTTTTGGCTCATTATAGAGATGGAACTGTCTGAGATTTCCTACCTGGTTTGCAATTGCCATGCAGCAGCCTGGGCCAGCCAGCAGCCAGTGGGGACAAGGCAGCCAAGTCACTGGGTCTCATCTGCAAGGGGGCTGCCAGGCAAAGGCTGTAGTGCAGCTCAGGCCAGGACCAAGGGCAAAGGTGAGCTTAAATGCTATTCCTGAGTTAAGGTAGGAAGCCCCCAACATGTTGTCTTGCAGCTTCTCGCACCCCCCAGCTCATTTCACAAGTTGATGCGGGGTTACACAGCATTTTTTATACGGTGACACTGACTCTGTACCTAGATATCAGGCTGAATAATTTATCTGAAAAAGACTGTGTAGGTTCTGATATCCAGAAGGAAATCAAACTGGGACCAGGAAAAATGCCAGTGAAGTCATAGCCAGGATAAGCACGAATCGGCTGAACACACTTATTGGAAATACAATGTGAAGTACTTCTCACTCACTTGTAATTCCAGATTAAGACCAAAATGATATTTTCACTCATCTTCTGGGATGTTTTGCTTTTAAAAGGAATTCTAATACCGGTTATTCTCTAGAATATCCTTCCTTTATTTAACCTGTTCTAACATGCTTGTGCTTTCTCACTTCTGTGCTACTCTGAGGTAAGACGTCATCTCCAAAACCTTAAAGGCTTCCACATGACCACTCTCTTGTACTAGATTATCTTTCTCTATCACCTTGTACTAACTTTCTAGGTCCCCTTCCCAAAAGGACCTATTGCCTCACCTGTGTCAGAATAGCTTTAATTTCCTGTAAGAAAACCTTGTTCCAAACCGGCATGTTGGAGAGTTTGTTGCATAATAGTTGAAAAAACGAATATCCATGCAGGATAATACAGAATGATTTTTAACACAGCTAAATAGAAGACTGTTAAGGAAAATGTCCTCCTCCCTTTTCAGAGAAAAGGTGGATTGTTTCTTTCCCTGCCCTCTTTGTTGTTGTGCGTTTTTTTTTCTTGCAAAACAAGAGAATTTCCCCAAAGGATTATATTTGAGCTTTAGATGTGTGCAGATGTGGAGCGTATCTTTTAGCCCCTGTACCTGAACTCTTTGCTTTGTGAAGGGTGACCATAATTGGAGCATTTAAAACAGTGCTACTACTGGAATTATCATTCTATCTCCTGATACGTGCTTTCAATAAATACTTTGCATTAATTTAGACACAAGGTCGAACAAACTTGCTGTATCATAAGTGGCTTCTAGTTAGCTGAAAGACTTCTATTCCCTCCATATTCAATGGTAAAACTTTAGTTCTGTGTTAGCAGCCATGGCAATTTCATGTCTGTGTCCTTCAGTGCTTTTCTTAAAATTCCAGACCCTGGAATTAAAAGGAAGAAGACACTTTCTGTCCCCTTCCTCCCCTTGTTTCTTCCCTCTGCATCCTTCTGTGGAGTGTTTAAGAGAATATTCTTCCCCTGCTAGATGAAATGTGTGACCTCTGAATACAGGAACGATACCTGTAGTACACTGTGGAGCCTAGGCCTTCTGTTCTTTGCAGATCTTGCTGCTGGTGAAATATTCAGTTGCACTTCAGTGCTCCTTACTGGCTAGGTGATCCTAAAGGTACCCACTAAAAAGCCACCATGTTTGTTACAGAGGTCTGTTATTTTGAGTCATTTGCTGTACTGCTGTCGTCAGTAGATCATATGAGATAGTGAACGCTCAGGAAGTGAACACTTAGGAAGCTGTAACTTCATTCTATGTATTCTCTCTTTCAGTTCCGACGGTGCCTCTTGCAGCTCCTGTGCTTCCGCCTGATGAGATTCCAGAGGACCACGAAAGAGACGCCAGTGACAGGGAATGATAAGCCAATACGGCCAATAGTTATGTCTCAGAAAGCAGGAGACAGGCCAAAGAAGAAAGTGACTTTCAGCTCTTCCTCTATAATTTTTATAATCACCAGTGATGAAACTCGGCAAATAGATGACAACAGCAAACATGATGAGACAAAAGTAAATGTCATTCAAGTAAAGCCACTATAGGGATGAGTTAAAGAGATGTGAGAATGAGGTGGACTTCAGCCAGTAGACTCTTTGGGTTGCAAACCAGTTTTAGTGGCAATGCCTGTGGACTGCCAAGGGAAACCACATTCTTAAGCTGTGAAATGCTGAAGGGATGCTGCATCTAAGGCTCTGCAGGCAGTTCACTTTTGATCACAGTACTGAAATCTCTTCATCTGTGCCAAAATTGCTGATGGATGTCTTTACTATTCATTTTCTTAAAGCATATTGTGGGACTTCTATTCAGGAGATCTTGGTCAGGCTGGAAGAATGCACAGACAGAAATGTTACAAAGTTCAGCATGGGCAAGTGCGAAGTCCTGCACCTGGGAAGGAAGAACGATTCTTTAGCACAGCAGGCCAGGCCCTGGCTGCCTGGGATGCAGCTCTGTGGAAAAGGATGTGGAGTCCTGTTAGACGAGGACATGAGCCTGCAGTGTGCCCTGGTAGCAAGGAATGGTAGCAGCACCTCAGGCTGTACTGGCAGTATTGGAGTCAGCAGTCTGAAGTAATTATGTCCTTGATTCAGTCTTCAGTAGACCATATCTATATTACTGCATTGACTTTTGGGACCCTAAAGCAAGACAGATGTCTGTAAACTGGGGTTGAGTTCAGTGGAGTCGCCCAAAATTGTCAGGGGTTGTAGTACCTTGCCTTGCAAGGAGAGGCTGGGGGTACTGCACTTGACCAGCTTGTAGAGGGAGCATCCTCACAGGAACCTAATATCAGCCTTCCAGTAGAGATGGGGAGGTTTTCAACAACATGGAGCAAGGCTCTTCAGAGCAATTCGTAGTGGAAGTTATCACAGACAGCAAACATGAACTGAAATAAAAGATTTGGGTGGGTAATAAGGTAAAGGTTTCTCACCCAAGGGTAGCCAAACAATGGAACAAGTCAGACTAGAGGCTTCTCAAGTTTCCTTTAGTATAGAGTTATAAGGGAAGAAGGAGGAAGAACGTTTGAGGTTTCCTACAGTTCAGTTGGTCTGAATTGGTGCTTTGCAGTGTAGGGGGTGAGAAAAGTGATGTCATCAATGACTGGGGCTACAGTTAAACCAAAAGACCTGAGAAAGCTGTCCTCAGCAAGCCATTCTCTTGGTGCTGTCTGGTAGGACCCATGAGATACATAATGAAAAAAATCATGCCAATCAAAGCACCAATGAATAAAGGTCAGTGAAAAGGGAGACTTGGTTTGGGTTTTGTTTTTCAGTTATTACAATTATGTGCTTTATGCATCTTTATCTTGTATCCATTTATTCTACACATGAACAGAACAGGACCAGGAACATCATCCTGTATTAATCCTGAACCTGCTCTGGCATTCTGGTGGAAGTAACTGTTAGGCAAAAGTTACCTTGCTCTTCTCTAATTGTAGTTGTAATGTGAGTGATGAGAGATCTAGTTGTAGTGCAAGTAATGATTTTCTTTGAGCTCAGTGAACAGAACAAATAGAGAATTTTATCCTTTTTTTACACCTTTTGTTGGTACAAAATGGTAGTAGGATTCTGCCCCAGACATGGCTTCCTGTCAGCATGGGGTGAATAAGAGAACTAAGTTTTAATTATGGCAGTGGGTTCTCTACCACATCCATCGCACCAGTGTAATTTCTCTGCCTCAGTCTGATAACAGGCAGTGTGGATCTGCAACATGCAGCTTTTCGATCTCTGTGAAAGCTGTAAGAAAAGTAAGAAATTTCTTGTTTCCTCTGGGGGCAAATCTTCTGAGAGGTTCAGAGGGAACGTGCCCAATTACTACTGGCACTGTAGCTTAGTCCTGCAGTCAAGAATGAAGCTTAAAAAATAAATAGAAAAAATCAGGGTCTAAATGTGGAAGCTTTCAGCTAGTGTTCCTGGGAGTAGGGAGTGACTTCAGCTCAGAACAAGTGACATGGTGCTTGTACCTGTGCTTTTGAAGAGGTAAATCTGTTACACATGCACCCCTCCAGAGCTTTAGCACTGGTAAACAGGTTCTGTGTCGTGTTTAAAAGTGCATCTGGAGTCCACTTCGGTTTCTGGATTAAATCATATAATCTGAGAGCAAACAGATGGTGATATACTTGTCTTTGTTTCTTTCCTATTTGTTATTTTTAATTTATTTTTTAAATACGTAATTTTAAATGCACAGATAAGTTGTCTTAACCATGTCAAAGACTGCTCTTACTGAAGCCTGTTCATTGCAATGTCAAGAACTACGTTTTCAGCCAGTGATCACTAAATCTATGCACATTTATATTTACAAATGGAGAAAGTACATTAGCATTCCATGTAATTAATCCATCCTTTTAACAAAATGTTTGGTATTTTAATGATTTCTGTATATTGAGTCTTCAGTGAGTGATTAAATGTACTTTATTTACATCAATGTGTTCTCGGTGAAATATTTTTCCCCCCACCAAGAGGGAGATGGTTTGGTATCGTTACTTGTTAGGTACTGCTTGAATTATTGGATTGGCATTATCTCCTGAGAAAACAATAGCATTTCAGGATTCCAGCTGACCTTTGTAAAGAACAAAGAATAAGTATAGTGTCTGTAAACAAAAAATACCCAAGATTTATGAAGGTCAAATTTGAGTAATTAACAACAGTATATGATTTTTAATGATTGATGTGCAATGATTATTAAAATACATAACACAATAACAATTATGTAATATATGAAAACTAAACGCTAAATATTGTTGTAAAATTGTTATCTTGGCTACTTTGCATAACTTGGTGGCCTAAAACGATAAATCTTGTGAAACATTTATGGTAACTTGTTATAGCCTGTGAAGCTTCACTAGCTTTGTAAATGTACCCATGTGAAGTTAATATGCAGCAGTCCTATTCGCTCATCTTTTAAGCTTAACTATTTTCTGTGGGTGGCTGCAGCACTGATGCAAAATTCACACCCTGACACAGAACTTAAGCACTGTAGCAGTCAGGCTTTTAATATCACCAGGTTATTTACAGATTTTTTTAAATCTCTCTTAAAAAACTCAAGTCTGTCTTTGTTCTATTCTGGGGATATCACAACTGGCTAGTTTAGCAGGGACTCATGTGGGACCTTTCTCTCCCATTACAGGGAATGGAAGATGGTTAGCATTAACGTTTGGACTATTAGCTGTTCCTAAAGTAGCAGAAATGCAGACTAAGAAAATGAAGGAGAAAGTGCAAAAGGATACATTATTTATGAAGATTTTAAATATACTAGTTGGTAAGAACTTTCATGATCCTGTCATCAAAAGGAAGTGGCAGGTGTGGTGAGTACCATGACAGCCTCAGAGCCAATTAATTTCTCTTAATGAAGTTTCATTGATTTCGTGCATTACTGGAAAAATACATATGATGATTTAGCTAGGATGTTATTTGTAACCTGCAAATGCAGCTGCTGATCCCAGACTCTATTGTGAGGTGTTTCCACATCCCTTTCATGCTGGGGAAGGATCCCTTCTCACCCTGTGTTATGGGGCAGTCATGAATCCTGAAGCTGTGTCCATTGACCTGCCAGTGCAGTTTGCTGCTGCCCTGGGTCCTATGGAGGCAAGGAACTGTGTGATGTGAGTTTAGGTCTGCTCCACAGCCTTGTGACCTTCCTCCTTTTTCAGCTTCCAGAAGCATCTAGTTTTATGCTCCATATATCTGACTTTATACAAGAATCAAGTCTTAAACTACTTACACATCATCTTTTATCACAATGATTACATCAGTCAGCAGATCAGTAGTCACATGCATTATCCTTTGTGCTCCTGTCCTTTACGTAATAGTGGTATCCTGCTGCTATTTCGTGCTAGAATACTGCAACAGCTAAGTGAAATGGATATTTGAGCACTATATTGTGCTAAGCCATCCAGAAAGAACAGCCTTTAGGACTACATTTATCCTTGGCTTATATAAACAACCTTCAGCTCCAGAATGGAATTTCACTGAATGATATTCAGAGGTAAGAGATGAGAAAAATCTGACTATGATGGTAGAAGATTTCACAATCTCATGTTTGACCCACATATAAACATCACAGTTTTGAAATATCTCTTATCAGGTATTTCTTTTGACAGTCTATTTCACTGCAGTTAAGAAGCCTTATTTTTTGTCTATCACAAAGGAAAAGAGGAGGAGGGGGGTGAGGCTGGATCAGTCCCAGAGGGTGGGGATGCCAGTTCCTGCTGCTGTTAAAGGTTGGCAGTAGGTGCCCCTTTTGAGTTGGACTGCTACTTGCACATGCTCAAGTCCCTCCCTCGGTGGCAGCTAGAGCAAGGATTAGGAGGGAGAAGAGCACAGCTGATCTCCCTTTCTTTTGCTGAAGGCAAGCGGTTCCGCCTTGTCCCACTTGTCTGACACCCAAGGCCGCTTTCCCTGCTGCTCTGGCCTGGCTCAGAGTGGAAGCCAAACATTATGAATGACTTTTTCTCTTTCTCTCTCTCCTTACCAGATTAGTATTGAAGAATTACTTGTAACGCATTAAAGCTGGAGAGGAAATTAAATTGATTTTCAGTACAAATTAGAATGCAGGTTATTACCAACAGATTTGGCATCAAACGCTGCCTGGAGCTGGCTCTTCTACCTCCTCTTTGTTGCATTTTCAAACAGTGTTTGTGCTCCCTCTTGTGGCTTGCTCAGGCCTGTGCCTGTTGACAGGAGAAGAAGCCTTGCCTCCTAAAAACCTGTTTTCATTACACATTTCCCCTGTATACGGGAAGAGTCACTGTTTCATGTCTATTATATTTATATTTAGTTTATATTGCGTATGCTTGTGTCTTTGAAAAATTATGTGAAATAGGTATCTGTAAATAATAGGAAATCTGGCCTGTCACAGTGATAATTTGAAGAGCTTATGTCTTTGCACGTTCTAGAGAATGCAGTCAGATAGGAGGCTGGTTATATAGATTGTGTAGACATGGCGCTGGAGCAGCATATTAAAGTGCTTCTAAATCAATTTTGTGCCTTGCTGAAGCTTTGTCAAAGTGAAAGTAAAATTCCATCTGTTACTTCTCAAGGCAGTCTGAGGTCTGCTCTGAGGGAGAGTAAAGTGTATGCGTGCTGGTTAGCTGTGCTAGTTCTAACCAGTCTATCTTTATGGACAAATGATTGAGACTGAGGCCAGGATACAGTGTAGAATTATTAAACCTTACTTACTAACTTCCTGCTTACCTACTGGCACATCGTTATTTATATTAAGTTTCCAGGTGTAGCTAAAGTGGGATTTTGTTCCTGTGATGGATGGATCTCAGGCAGCAATTGGAAAATACTCTTATTTTCACCTATCCAATTGTCTTCATGGTTTAGGGAATTGACTTGCATCAATACACCCTCAATATACTGTGTCTTTCATTTGCTGTGCTGGTGTGAGGTGTGTATTGTATAGATGGCATGGGCCATGGCTGACAAGTTGAACAGTGCCTGTGCAAATTCCATCTGCAATTAGTCTTTTCTAAGACATGCTGCAGCCTTCAGAAAGAGGTACTTACACAACTGGGCAGTATTTTCTTTCCTTATGCCAAATACATCTTTATTTTGGCACTCTTTCAGTAACGTGTTTGGCAGTTGGGTCTGAGGAGAGCTCAAAGCATGTTTGATGGGCTGTTGAACATGAATTCTGATTATCCTCCTTGAGGTAAAATACAGAAGAGGATTTTTGTCCACTTCTGAATTCTCATCACTGAGCTTAAAGCACCTTTTGCTTAGATAGTATTAGTACACCATCTACGTGCATCACACAATACCAGTCTACACCTCCATTTCGCATGAGGGCTTCTATTAATAATGACTCATAGCTTTGTCCAGATAGTTGCAAAATAAGTGTTTTCTCTGAACCCATTAGAGAACAATGAAACTTTACAAATCACAGAACTATGCATGGTTTTCAGTTGCCTGAAAGCTTCCAAATGAGGGGATATTCGGACAGGAGGGGTGTGTGTGTGTGGGGAAAGGTGTAGGTGTAGGAAGACATTCTTTTCTTTTCAAAAATACTAGAAAAATGCCTTCTAGTGTGAGGCAATGATGGCAGACATATGACTAGTACACATGATGTCTAAGAGTATAAACAGTGTCAAGAGATGCTCAGTAAATAAATAGTTCAAGTAACATAGCTACTTACAGCTACACAAAATAGTCCAATTCATGAATATTAGATGTATTTAAAATTTCAAGTAGAAACTTAGCTATAGCAGTCTCTTTCCTGCCCTGAAGCTACTTCTATTAAAGTTAATAGCATGTCTGGTTTCCAGAGAATTGCCATGAAATGTACTGACAGTGGGGGGGATCATTTGTTTTGATAACTGTATTGAAATAGCTTATTGGTATCTATTGCTGCAATAATGTGTGATAGAATAATAACCATGTTTACTTTGAGTTTCTCTAACTACGTTTTATGCATCCAGATCAGGATATTGTTGTAAAAGACACTGAGCTTTTAAAATAAATTTGGGAGATCATATGCTGCCAATGTCCAAGGTGAAATAAGGCATCAGTGATTAGAAATGGATGTGCTGCTGCCTGAAGCGGACAAAATGTTTTCAGGAGCAGTACCTCATAAGCCTTACCTTTTCAACATCATCTCCTAATAACTGGTCCTAAAAGAACTACAAAGAGGTGTAATAATGCATCTCTGTAAAAAAGATAATGAACAGCAACAGAAAGTATGTCTAAAAGGTGAAATATAGAAAATTTGTTAACCATGTCTTTCTTTATCTGTGCATTTACTATTCTTTGAATTTTTAGACTAACAAAGCATTTTTTCTGAGTGAAGGCCCTTCCATTTTTTTTTCTGTTTTTCAACCAGCTATAACATCCTTTCACCAGATTGTGTTCCTTTCTAACAGAAAGGCTCAGATGTGTGGATTTTGGTGAGTAAAGAGGGAAGCACACCATACTTGAGATCTATACCTTATTTCAAGGAGGTTTGTGAAGTTACCATTAACTTGGCAGTGGGGAAAAGGACTGAATTACTATCTACAGAAATTGTGAAGTGAGACAGCATTAGCATGCACTTTAAATCTAATACACCCAATCATTTATTTTTGCACATAATACACGGTTATATCTAAACATAAAGGATTTGTTGGTCCTAAGAATAGGTCAACTTCCATTTGAAACAGCTTGGCATGTGCTACAATTAGATAGTGAGACAAGGTGTGTCACCCTGCAGAGGGAGCCCTTGGGTTATCGAGCCGACCATGAGTACTGGATTTTTGTTGCTGGATTTTTTGTGTGTTCTTCATCTGTTGTGTGGTTGATTTGAGGGGTTTGGTTTGGGTGGTTGGAGGTTTTTTTTCTATGTGGTTTGGTTGTGTTTTGTTGTTTTTTAATACTGAGCTGCATGAATGTTTACAGTTCTAGTTTCCTTCAGGCTTTGCCATATTTTGCAGAAGCTCATCTCTTAAACCATTTGTCCTTCCTAGAGGTGATAATTACATGCTTAGTGCTTTCTCTACTAATGAAACAAGGCAGGAAAAGAGGTCCATCCTGTTCCAGAGTACCAAGGACAATGCTTAATTTGTATAAAATGCAGCAGACCTCACAAGGGTACAAACTGTCCAAGCATCATAAACTGCTCTGTGCAGATGGGAGCAGCATTCTGCTGTGACTGAGGAAAGGAGAATTGAGTTACTTTCATAGGAAGGAAGGCTTACACTGCGGACAGTCTAATGTAACATGCACAGAGAAGAGGTGGTCTTTACTTACCAGAATTGTATTTGTTGTTGTTTCTAGTTTTAATTATACTGTACCCCCACCATTGCTAGACTTCTTCCAAACCAGAAGGCTTGTTTGCCAGTCGCTGAGGTAACTCTGGCATTGCCTCAGATGTTGGCAGTAGACACATGCTGGATTGTAATTATGTCAGACTGAGAGTTCCTCTTGGAAAGCTAAACCTGTTCCATTTGCATTATATGTGGACTCAACTGGAAGACACAGTCCTATTCTAAGAGATTTTTAATTGCAAATATCTTCAAGATATCTTTCATGCTGCAGTGTCATACTCCTTGTAATGTCTCCTACCTCTTACTCTCAGGTATTCTCTCTTCACTTAAAGGTATTTATTTTGCTTTCTTCATAAACAAGCGTGCCACCGAATTAGGAACTCTACTCACTTCAGAACAGTAAAAGTCTGAAAAACAACAAATAATTTTCATCAGACTGTCAGTCCGTTTCCTACTATTTGTGACACTTTTCCCTTGATTTTGGAGTCATTTAGCATCTGTAAGCAGGGATGTAGCAGTAGTCTGCAGGATTTTCGTGTGTTATGACAGACTCATAGTGTCTTTCTTGGTGTCAATGTGAAACCAAGGAGAGCTCCTGTTCTTTCACAGGTCCAAACATTAGTTTGTTTAGTCAACTGTAAATCTGTGTTGCCTAGAAATAGTTTTCCTATAGTTTCTGGCTTGTCCTTGTGTCTTTATATCCTTTCTGAAATAGGCCTCCTTTGGCTCTTCTACACCATGGCTTGGATAATATTGGAGACTTATCTCCCCACTGGAGTTTTCCATTCTAAAGAGAGAGGAGCATGCTTTAATTTTAAGACCTGCTAGTTTTTCCCTAGTAGATTTTCAGTCCAAAGTTCTCAAATGTGGCTAAATTTTGGTCAAGTCATGATGAGATTTACTAACTTGTAACATCTTTCCCAGCGACACTTCTCCAAATCTAACTTGCTTAAAATTAAGAGCAAGAATTTTTAATTTACATCAAAGGTCTGAAAACTATATTGGGGGATGAGAAAAGACCAGGGGGATGGGGAGGCCAGGAAGCAATATCACTGCTGTAAACCACTCTCCTTATTCCTTTCCCAGCCAGTGAAGTGCATGCTTCTCCTGCTTCCCTTTCTCCACTGAGTAACCCTCTGTCCCAGGCAAAATTCGTAATTCAAAAAGGCAGGGTAAACTTTTTTCCACATCCCTAATGGATTCAATTCAGTACATGCTGCTTGGACTGCTGTGCAAACATGGAAGTCTTTCAGAGTGATTTCATGCTCCTATAAAACTATGCTAGTACTTCAGTGAGGTTTTGGCTCTGTATTTTCCACTTATGTCTCTGTAGCTCAGCCATCTTGCTGATACTGTAAATGGCCTTGGAAAAGATTTGGCTATGCAAGTCTCTTCTTGGAGGCTTTCACATGAGTCTGTAATGATGCTTTTTTCCACAGCGTGTCTGGAAGTCCTGAAAGCAACAGCATCATTTTTCTGACAGATCTACTAGACAGAAACTGTTGCACTCCCATCCGGGTGATGTTACACTGTTGCTCAGGCAAACCTGTGTGGTGCATACAATGATTTTACTCAATCCCCTCTTGCCCAGGGGATTGGCAGCAAAAGCCTGCAAAGCCCTGGTGGCACTTAGTTCCCACCTGAAGAGTCACTAAGACCTGGGCTTGGGAAGCTCAGTGGGGCTGAGGAGCCAAGGGGAACAGCTTGTTCTTCGTGAGTAGTAAGTGAACAGGGGCTCAATGCAGCTGGGTCGAGAAACACTGGCCAGGGAATGCAAAACCAGCATCTGACTGGGATGGACTGTCTGGAGTAAGTATCATCAGTTATAAGCTGGAAGAAGTAGAGGTATTCAGCTTACCTTGAAGCAGATACATATGTTTGATTAAATGCCAAGTTATGTGGACTCCACTGCCCTTCATCAACTGAAAACTGTATTGACAGTGATGCCTGCTTATAGCAACTGCATGGCCTCAAGTTGCTGCTCCACTAGGATGCAGGTCGCCTATTGGTCCTGCATCAAATTTATCAGATACCTGTGGATGTCTTGAATACCCTGGAGCATCTCAGGTTGCAGTAGCCACCCATATGGGTGCAAAAGTATGGAGACTTATATCTCCAGTGACTACAGTGGAAACCTATACATTTAGTTCATACCCAAGCATCCAAATATGGCTGATTATGGCTTGAATCGTCCCCTTCTTGGCTCTTTAATACAATGATGCTGTCACTTCACAGAGTTCTGTTGCTGGCTCCTGTTTCCTTCCCATCCCTCCCTCCCTCTCTGTCTGTCTGTCTGGCTGTCTGTCTGTCTTGAGCAGACTACCATGAACTTAGTTCCCTGGCAGTCAATAACCTAGCACCACGGCTGTCAGATGTAATAATGCTTTATCTAGATGCATGGTCTGGCCCAGTTTTTTACAGTTATGTCAGGTGGCTGACAGTTTGACGCAAGCAGTTGTCTGGACAGTACTCTGTGTGTGTATTGTGATCATTGCTGATTTCTCATATGAGTTTGACACTAATGAACACATTTCCACTAAATGGTGTTATTTCCTTGGAATAGGGTATTCTGACTGAAAAACATTGCACTGAAATGTTTTTGGCTAGCACTACTTGGGAAGAATGAGATAAAAAGAGGTCTTTCAGTCTTTTCTATAAATAAAGTCTTTAAACATGTTTATGCCATCGCAAGTCTGTAGGGTTTCTTGTCATTTCAAAGCAAGCAGCTGCTGAAGTATTATAGGCTTCAACTGGAGATAGTTAATGCTACTGTAAAAGTAGCAGAAGTGATGGAGAGAAATTGTTGAGAATATTACTCCTGAAAACCATGTTCTAACAGAAGTAGTTTTTCTTGGAACAGATTATTATCTGAAAAGGACAATTTTGACTTCCCCACAGGGAGTGAAGA